CTCCCCATGCTTTATATAATCAGAGTGGATGATGTCATTGGGAGCTGGAGAGGAGAGCAGGCTGTGAAATTACAGCCCTCTGCAGCCAGGCAGAGCCAAGTGCAAGGAGAGACTGCACAGAGCAAGGGCCAGGCTCCCCTCTGATAGAGGCTCAGGACAGAGGGCCTGGGGGCTCAGGCTTGGAGGGGAGCTGCGGGGGGTAGAATTAGATAATCCAAATACAGTCAGAAGCTCTCGCACAGGCACAAAGTGAAAGGGGGGAGAACCACACGTGCCCAGTGGGCAGCAGCGGAGCTGCCGTTTCAGGGGCCAGCACCCCCTTCTTCCACATGCAGCTACCTATAGCTTGTTGTGGATCAGCTGGCAGGGCTATGGGGCTGCTGGGCTTGCTTATCCCTCTTCTGCTTCAGTCTTCTGGTCTGTCTGTTTAGGGGTTGATGTATCTTTTCCCACAGCAGCTCCTGGTAGAGAAGAGAGGGCATGCTCACTCTGCTTGCCCTTCACATCCCAGAGGAACTTGTTTCTAAGCTTCTCCTGGCACTGCACATGGGAGGAAGCAGAAGCGGCAGAGGGGCTCTGTCCTAGCCAGAGTTGCCAGATAGAACAGGATAAAAGGTTGTCCTCAGCTCTTTGGGACAGAGAGGTGCGTGCTAGGCTCTGGTTTTCCGAAGCCTCTTGGGTGCTTTGCTACTTTTCTGGCCACCCTGATGCCCCACATGGGAATCTCAAACAGGAGTCTTCCCCCTCATCAGGCTGAGCAGGAGGGGGGCACCGGGCTGATCTCTTGGGAAAGAGGAGAGCCCCCTCCTTTCAAATCCTCCATGGATTCCTTCTTCAGCACATCCAGCACCTACCGTGTGCTCAGGATGCTGCTGTAAGAGCCTGATTTTTTCCAAGGCCACTTAGGCACGATAAAGGGCTCCAGCTTCTCCCAACTCCCCTGCAGCTAGAGTGCAAAGGTTTCGGCCTTGGCTGAAACTGGAATTCTTCTGTCATCCTCAGTCTTACCCTGGATCAAGGCAGCAAGAGGCAGCAGCCCTTCGCGCCAAGCCCGAGTTGTTTCTCTGTTATATAACAATATGGGCATTTAGACTTGTTTTTCCAGATATTGGCAGATGCATCAAATATTGGCATAATCCAGTGGTTTACATGGAAAGCCGTCTGGCTCTGTCTGGAGCCTGCACAATGCTGGCATTTTCATTGAATACAAGAGCCTGCAGCGTTGTCAAAGCCACGTTGCAACAGAGTCCAGGTAAACAAGGGCAAAGGACATTCATATGGCCTGACCCGTGGGAGTACAGCTGTCCAGGTACAGGACTTGATAAGAAAGATTAATAGATTTGTGATTGCTTTCTCTCTAAAATGGTCTTTTAGCTAAGTTTGCTGTGATGCTTTTGAGCCCTGGAGTTTTATTTCCGGGTTTTACTGAAGCCACCCACCAGTGCGTCAGACCTGCCTGTGTGCTCTGTGTTATAAGAACCCATCATGGTCTGCTTGAGCTGTTGGAAGTTGAGAGAGGTCAGGAACTGTGACTGGGTTAGATTTTTAAGAATAAAAAGGCAAGGTATAGACCACTGCAGAGGGAAGAGAGCTGGGGAAGCTGTTTGATTTGATCTCTCTGAAGGAAAGCAATGTGCTCATGTGCCAGGACGGTTTGTGGGCTTGGTTGCTCTTCGTTATTCCAGCTGCACCGGGCCAGGGAGCTCCTGAGCGGCTCTGCCAGTGCCGTCCCCAGCAGTGGGGGGTGACTGCTGGGGCTGAAGGGCCTGGCTGTTCCCGGTCTGCACCAGCCTGCGCACTGAGGCTGGCCCACTTCCGTATGCTAATGTAAAGCCCTGTGTATTTCCCTCGGTTAGGCTGTGGTTGGAGATGTAAATGCACTTACATTTGCAGTGGCATCAAAACTCAGTGTGGCTCAGCTCTGAGTGCAAAATAAGGGGGAAATCCAACAGCAGCACATAAGCGATTGCTTTGGTCAAACCTCTTCCAAACCTGCCTCGGCTCAGCCAACGCCACCTGCCCCCGCTCAGCCAACGCCCCCTGCCCCTGCAGTGTGCTCGTTGCCCGAGCCATGCTATGTGCCGTCTTGAGCTTATCAGCTCGCGCTCACACTCTCTGTCACAGGCAGGTGTCCCCTCCTGATGCCTGGTGTGCTGGCAGAGGCCATCATCCCTGCTGCGGGCCACGGCCTTTGGTGGCCAGCCAGCAGAGCTGCTGGCAGGGGTGGCTTCTCTGAAAACCATCTGCGTGAGCCTGGGCCAATCTTCTGGGCTTTAAGGGCCAATGTGGGGATCCAGAACTGGTGGAATGTCCCCTTTGGGGCCACACGTGCTGGGGAAGTAACTCTCTGCCAGCTTTTCCAGAGTCCTCAGGAGGACAGATCCTCTGACTGCTTCATCCTCTCCCTGCCCTTGTCAGGGCTTGCAGAGTGCAGTAACCTTCTTCGATCCACTGTGGTCCTGGGGCACAACGGGAAGTGTCCAGGGTTTTATTACGTGGCTGGATCTCTGCATACAGCTTTCAGGTGCTTAACACGGTTGATCTCATCGAGTCTGCACATAACCTAGCTTTTGACATGGCAGATCAGTGCCATGTCAAAACCGCTGTCTCAGCAATCCAGCCAGTGCTCGCTCCTGCCCGAAGCTGATCGCTGGTTCCAGGAATCCAATTCCTGGTTCAGCGCCTTCCCCAGTAAAACCTCCAGTACTGAGACTCAGCCCAAAGCTCAGGCTGTAGATGTGTTGTCCATTTCTCTTTGCATTCTGGAGTGGACTGTGATACGTTTGACACTGGTCAGATGTTGATTCCACAAACTTGTTCTCTGTTGCACAAATAATTCAGTTTTCACCATGGGCTGGGAGCTGCCCTTGCCCAGCAGGGCAGGGGGGAGTCTGCGGTCCCTACCTGTAGCAGGTGCTATGTAGCAAGTCCCCTGTTAGGTGGAACCGGCCCCGCTCCTCAGCCCCTAGATCTGTGCACACATCTTTAGTTCTACTTGAGCTGCATTTTTAACTTGGGCTGATCCCATAGGTGAAGTGTACGGCTGGTGCTCGCACTCACGTTGTGAAGAGAGATGTGCTGCTCTGTGCTGCAGCTTGATGGCTGTGCTCTGACTCGGTGACTTGCCTCTGTGGCCATTCAGGAAATCCGTGGCATAGCCAAAAAAGGGTTCAAAACCCGGAATGTCTTTAACCACAAGATCCTCCTCCTCTTCCTTTCTCTAGCTGCAAGAAGTCAGTGGCCAGTCTCCCATAGGATGACATGAACTATAGTGCCAGTGTGAACCAGCAATGCTTTTTCATTGCTGGCCCTACAGGTCATCATGGGACACTGGGCAAACACCTGTAGTGGGTGCACACAACTCCTGTTGATCAAGCTCTATGTTGAAAATGGCCTTCCAGGTAGAAAAAATCCCCGTGTCAGCCATGTGGGTTTAATGTCAGTGGGGTTTGCCCTAGAGCAAGCTGAGAAGTAAAAGATGAGATTGATGTGTCAGTTTGATTTTTGGATTATGATTTCCCTTTCCCCACCCCTCTGGTTGTTAATATTTAATGAAAAACATGTGTTCTTCAAGGCCCTTGCTGGTCATATGCAGCCCTGTGGCTGTTCTTGAGACAGAATGATGGACCCTTTGTAAAGAGATTTATAATAGAAACAGTGAGGAGCTCACAGCTACAGCACCGCTAGTGAACACTCCCCTGCGCTGACAGTTCATCAGCAAAACCCCTGACCCTTCCACCCTTAATCATCCTTGCTTGTCACTGACATAATTGCCTGATTACAGACTCCTCTCCCCCACCCCTTTCAAACTGGGCACAGTAGTGAATTTGAAAAACAAATGGAAATGAACTGTCCATGCTCTTTTTTCTTTTTTTTTTCTTTTTTTCTTTTTTTTTTTTTTCTTCCCTTCCCCTGCATTGAGATGGATCAGGCTAAGATTCAGTTTCTTTGTGCATGAGCAGGGGCTGGGATAGGCTTTCAGGACTCTTTTGCACCGGTGTTTCTTGCATGTGAATGGTGGAGCTGATGTCATTGTATTATTGATTGGGATGACAAGTTTGGACATAAATCATTAATGTCTGGGAAAGAGGGAGGGAGGGGAAAAAGGCAACCCACACTTGATAGTTTTCCATAAATCTGCTGTTCATTCCTGCATACGTGTTACAGAGGAGGAGACAGCGGGAACAGTTTTCCTGTGCAGCCCGAGGACGATGTGCTTTGCCACTGCTGCCTGAACCATTTTCCCCAGAACGTGTTTCCATATGCTGCAGAAAATGGCTCATATCATCAGCAACACAGTCATGCTTGAGCCTGTCTTTGTAGACGTGAACCAAGGTCAGAAGACTGCCCAGGGGAAGGTCTAGGGTTCTCTTGATCCCACAGACCTTGCACCCCCAGCAGCATTTCAGACCTGGGCCCAGGAAGGAGTAAGATTGCAGTTCTTGGGAACTACCATCCCTCTAGCTCCTTTAACTGCCAGCAGGGATTGTTTGGTGTTTTGGGCTGACCATTTTTCTCATTGATCTTCTTAATTTTGTGCAAAAAGACGGTGCTTAGATCAGTTCATAGTAAATGTCCCTGAGCCAGCAATGCACAAGTGTGCAGGGGGTAGCAGTCATTCGAAACTGCTTTCACAAAAGTTCTTCTCAGCAAAACACACAGCAAATAGCTGAGAGAGAGGAAACCCACGAGATACTTGTACCATTTGCTTGTGTGCCTTGCCCCTGCACAAAGTTCATCCAGATGAGTCAGATTATCAGTTTAGACAGCAAGAAAATAAACAGTGTCTGTCAAAGGTTAGCAATAATGCAAGTATTGGTGAGCAGCTGATGTTTGCAGTGTAAATAGTTTAGTGGCAGCCTGTCCTGGTACCTGTGGGGAATCTTGTGATGTTTGGAAAGAGGGAAACATTAAAACTACCTTGTAGGAAGGAAGTAAAAAATGAAATTACATTCCCTTTCTGAAAGCATAGCTCTGATCCTCCTCTTCTCCCCTTGCAGCCGAGCTCACCTCCGCCTGTGTCTAGAACGCTTAAAAGTTCTGATACCGCTAGGACCAGACTGCACCAGGCACACAACGCTTGGGCTGCTCAACAAAGCCAAAGCACATATCAAGGTAAGAGCTGCTTTTCCCAGCTGGTTTCAGTCTGGGCTGTTGGGAAGTGCAGTTCAATTGCTCACTCTTGCTGCCTAGAGGTAACTCCGTTGAAGGAGACTAACACCTTTTTAAAAAAAAAAAAAAAAAAGCAAGCAAGCCTTGCCCCCTTGGTTAATCATTTATCATTGCTACAAGCCACATTGTTAGAAGAGTCCATAATGAACTCCGTTAACTATGGAAATGATTGATTTGGAGAGCAGGGGTCTTGTTCTGTATTGTGATCATTCGTTGACAGCTGCATCTCTTTGAAGAAAAACACACTTACTGTTGAATGACTGCATTTTGATGGGAAATGCAGCTTTTTTTCTGATGTGCTAGTGAGTTTCCCCTGCCGAAGCATTAGCACAAACCACAAGAGTGTGAGACAGGGTTGGTTTGCTGGGGTTTCACATGTGAACCTGCCAGCTAGCCCACTCTTCTAGATTCACTTCTGGCAAAGTGAAGCATGAAAAGAAAATGCAGCATTGTCAGTATCTGGAAGGGGCTGAATACTTTGTCACAGGTCAGGATAGCGGAAGGGAGGATGGGTGGTGAAGGAGAAAAAGCACAGCCGAAGGGACAGAGTTAGCCTGAAATGACTCCTCCTTATGCAATGTGCTTGTTGTAGGAAACAAAGAACAGTGCCCTGGTAGATTTCCCAGCTGTGATCAAAGAAATCTGTAGTAGGTTATGTAAATCGCTTACTGAATAGAAAACTGTTTCTGAGAAATCCTACTAAACCATGCAGCAAGGAGCACAGAACTCCCAGGGCACGTTTTTATGTTACAGTGGATCATAACAAACCCTGAATTGGTTTGGTTAAGGGAATTGAGGCCCCTTCGTGGACAGATTTGGTAATGCAAGTGGCTGAACCCATGTGAAAAGACCCACAAACTGCTACAATTCAAATTGTTTCCCCTGGAGAGGCTCTGTCTTCAGAGACTTTTTATACTAATGTGTATGATTTATCAGGACTTGGTAGAAAAGATGTGAGGAGATGGCATTGTTCTTGGAAAACTGCAAGGCAGCTTGGTTCAGAGCTCTTTTGCAGCTTAAATCCTTCTGGGACCTGGGAAGGTCTAAGCAAAGCAGGTGGCTGGGCAGTGGAAGTGGGAGGGAAGGAGAAAAGGATGAAACTGATTATTGAGTCATATTTGATCATGTCAGAAACTTGAAGAGGCTGAGAGGAGAAGCCAACACCAGCTTGAGAACCTGGAACGAGAACAAAGATTCCTAAAGAGAAGACTGGAACAACTACAGGGTTCTCAGGAGATAGAGCGAATACGAATGGACAGCATTGGATCTACCATTTCCTCGGATCGCTCGGACTCGGAGCGAGGTGGGTGTCGCTGAACTAGCACTGAATCCCCAGGACTCTGAAGCAAGGGCATGAGATTCACCCATTTCTTGTCTCTCAGCTACCCCCTTTTTACAGCCTTTGGTATTTAGGCTACTGATTTTGCTAACACACATGCACATACACACACACAGATACACACATATATATGAAGAGTTTAGTACTTTGCATGAGTTCTAATTAAGTCTGGAAGAAGTGTTGTTATTGTCAACTTGAGCTGCTTTCTGTGGCATTTAAAGTGACCTGTTTCTCTGAAAAGCCCTCTAAAATACTAAAGCATTAGTTAGGAAAAATAGTGTGATCACAAGATGGTAGCTAAATACCTAATGGTAAAATTGAGATATCCATTGTGCTCTTTGGTCTACCGAATCTCTCAGCAACACAAAAAGGAAAATCTAAGAAGATATTAGTGGGACTGGAACGGATGTTGCAAAGCAGCATCCAGCTGCTCATTCTGCGTTTGGGCCATGGTATAACCAAGCAAACAGAACCAGGCAAATTGCCTCTAAAATTCCCAGAGTCATTCTACACACACACCCCTTTTTGGTTTTTTTCCCAAGCTTCCCATAGAGTTCATCTCCTCAGTTAAAACTGGGTAGAGATGAATTGAATTCAGATAACTTTCTTTTTTTAAATATCTCTGATGTGAAGAGATACTTAGGTATAATAGATGGTTTGGTATTCACTGACAGACCCAAAGATGCTGTATAGTTTGAGTGTTAGCCTGTAGTTTAAAAAGAAAAATCCTTTTGGAAAATTCCTAAATGATGTGGGAACCAAGATATCTGGTTAACTAGATCTCTGCTTTCTAAGTCTTTCTTAAAAATAAGATTTATCTTCTAAAGTTCACTGAGCATCTCTGAGGGTAAGCCAGATCCCCATGGTAATGCATTGTAATGCTCTATATGAGCGGTCCTGGCTTTGGCAACGTAGTATCAAGCAAGTAGCATATTTCAGGGTAACTTCATGCTCCGTTTCCTCTGTTGCCCTCCGTTTTATCTGTTTCTTTTTGTTTCCAACACTGGGGTAGTAGAGCTCCGAAGAGGTAGTGGAACAAGTTCTGTGCGTGGCGTGGCCCACCTATGCTGATAGTGTGGCCTGCATGTTGGAGGAGTCAAACCCCTTTGTCAAGTCCCTAAGAAAAACTCCAAGCTGGTATCTAGTCTTTTTATAAATCATGTCCACAGCCCATCCCATTCCAGGGAGAACACTGAAAGTCTTCCTGCTGGACTGCTGCTTCATCCCTGAGTCCCAGCAGCTCACTGGCTTGAAGGTCTGTCGTGCTAACCTGTGTGTGTTTCTCTCATTTTCCTTTTTAGAAGAGATTGAAGTGGACGTTGAAAGCACAGAGTTCTCCCATGGAGAAGTGGACAATATCAGCACAACCAGCATCAGTGACATTGATGATCACAGCAGCTTGCAGAGTATTGGGAGTGACGAGGGTTACTCCAGCGCCAGTGTCAAGCTCTCGTTTGCTTCCTAGAACCAAGTGAGACAACAGTGCAGGGCGAATGATTTCACTGGGGTGATCAAACTGGGTCCTAGATGCCAGTATCCTCTTTCAGAAATGACATATTGACAGCTAGTCCTGGAGAGACCTGTATATAAAGCTTTTTGGGTAAAGGAAGCCTCCACAGAAACCCACATGTGTTCATTTGGTCATGTTACCAATCCTGCTGGCAAAAAGTTAGACCAAACACTAGTCCCTTTGAAGTCAGTGAAATCTGTTTGTTTCTGTGGGACCTGGATCTAGACCTTAGTGATGAAACACTTTGTTTTGAATTTATTTGTTTGAAAGAGGATACTAGAGACTCATCCCTCTCTTTCTGTCATGAGATCTGAGAAATGTCAGAATTTCTTATCTTGCATTCAGGTTGAACAACCTAGTTTAGGCCCTTCTGAAGAGCTTTTGTGGTCCTAAAAGGACCGAGTCCTACAGTTTATCACAATCCAATGCTGTCGTAATGTACTAGGAAATCTAAGAAGGCTTACACAGCCTAGGAATAACAATGACAATAATGATTAAGGTCTCATTCTGTGCCCAGAGAGAGAGAGAGGGGCAGCAAAGAGAGATGTTCAGGAGAGAACACCATTCAGCTCAGCTTTCTGTTGGACATCATTTAAAAAGCAAGTACCTCTGATGCGTGGCTAAAGCAAGAGGTACACACTTGTAATCTACCAGCACATCGTGGGCTGTGTCATGCCTCAGGCTGTGACACCGACAGCAGATCTCCCAGTAGATGTGTGCTCGTACACAGGCACACAGCCAGCTGAGGACAGAAAGAAACCAGCACATACGAGGGGTGATATGCCAGAAAGTCATGCCCAGATACTGAGCCACTATGACCTTTTTATTTGAAGAGATTTTTTGATAAACATTTGTAAATGTGTTGGGAGGGAAAACACCCAAAGTCTGATGCGTCTTTTTAGAGCTTGTCCATATGAAACCTTAGATGTCTTTTATATGAATTTATGCCATGAAAAGATCTCTGTTTTGATGAAGCACTTGACCCAATGAAATGCAAAGATGCTTTTTGCCATGCACACAATGGATGAAGGCTGTGCTAGCTGGAAGAGACCAGGTTTGGTGGGGGTTTCTTCGGTTTTCTTTTTAGAATCATTCCCTTTGCTGACTTTTGAAGTTCCAGTCCAGTAGTTAACCTAGTTAAGCTCAGCACGTCTCTCATATTAATGTAACGTTTTGACTGCACGTCCTGTTCCCAAGGGCCTTGCCATCTTATCTGTGCAGGTGCTGTTAAGAGCTATCATAGCGAATGTTCTCTAATTTTCTCGGAGACGAGCATTCTAACCTGCACTTTGAGGGCTTTGCTTTTTTTATTTTTGTCTTTTTAATGGCCAGGATTATTTTGTTTTCCAAGTTTTAAAAACCTTAATAGAGTCCTCACCTATGGCATTGTTTGAAACTTTGTATATCTTTAAGTAATTTAACTACCCCTCATTACTAAGAAAAAAAAGAGGAAAAAATGCTTTATAAAATTCGTAACTTATTGCTGATTTGAATGGGTTGTTAATTTCAGTCCTTTAGATTTTATTTTATTGTTTTAGGTAGGGTTGGGCAAAAAGAGGTAAAATAAAATAAAAAAATAAAGACAACCATATTTAGCAGTGCAGTGGAATTGTGTTTAAATGTTAGCATATGGTCCCCATTAAAGTAGCACTTTAACGCCATTAAACATTTCTGTATCTGAAATGAGTTGTGTTCTTCCATCTTGGTCATTCGTATCACTTTAGCTGACTCTTTTTTCTTCTTGTGCCCTTCGATCCTGTGATGAGAAGATCCTGAGTGAGTCTGCTGTAGTTTTGCATTATGATAAGTTGCCTGTGTTTAAATATTCTGATGTTTCCCCCACTCTCCTCCAAAATGTGTCACCCCCTGTAAGAGCACAACACACAATAATCCTTCCATGGCTGTAATGAACAATTTCTGTTTGTTTTGGGTTTTTTAAATTTGCTTACTAAGCCTGGATCAGGTTGCTGTTGCTAAATCTGTTTTTACTTGTGTGTATGTAATCCAGTGGCTCAGTACCTCTGTTCTTCCTTCTGGGAGGTGACCTGGCAGGAGCAGGAGTTTGCCACAGACTGAATCGAGCTCTAGATTAACAAATGGGGCCCAAGGGTTTTCAAAGAAGAAATGCTGCTTGGATTTATGTTTGGGGTCCATAGAATCTCTGGATGACACAAGGTTTGGGACAGTCTTCTGAGTGGTGAAAAGTGGGAAACTTTAGCTCTAGCAAGGCCCTGATTTATTTATTCGTTACTATTCTCCTTGAAATTGTTGACCACTGCAGCCCTGGTGCTGAGCAGTTGAATACCAGTGGGTTTTATTTATTTATAACCCTTTTTCTCTAGCTGTCCCAGCACTTCCTCCTTCCTGTTATCCCTGTTTGTTTTAAAGGGCCACTTGGGAAAGAAGTATCACAGCTGAGAAATACTGAAGTTCAAGGGGTGGGGAATGGCTTTGCTCTCCTAGTTGGTATAAAACAGTGATGTGTCTCTGGTTGGAATAAACGTGTCTGAAATGTTCGCTTGTATGCTCCAGGGCCAGTTTGGTACTTCCTACCTTTTCTAGCATTGTGGACTCGAAGGGGTCTTGATACCAAGTGCAAATACAATGGGGAAAATGTAGCAGGAGATGAGCTTCCATCACCAGCCCCCTGCCTGACGGCTCAGCTAGCAGCAGTGGTCCAGCCAGGAAGAGGACCAGGGACAAAACAAAATCAAGAGCCTTTCTAATAACTGCTAAAGACATGGGGTTGGTTGCTCTGGTGCTGGGGGGTTCTCTGTGGCAGGTCGTAGCAGATTTCAGCTAGAGCTTGGATAGTTTCTTATGTGATGGAAACATTTCTCTGGCCTTTCGAGGTTGTCCTGCACAGCTTTGTCCTGCATTGTGGATTCTGGCCTTTTCTGTATGCTTGCACCTCACACGGTCTGTCACACTCCTCACATCTCCATTGCTGGTCTGGTCTGTTGCGTCAAAATGTTAAAGATGACTAATTTGCTCAGAGAACTTGCTATAAGTTCCTTTTAGATGATTGTACAGGCCAATTTGTATGGTTATGCAGGACATCAGATGATCATAATAGTTCCTTCTGCTTAAAAATGCATGAATCTCCTGAATTGTCCCTGTTGTGGCAAACCAGAATAGTCCCGTGTGCCAGATCTGCTTTAAGGTCATGTCACTTTTCAAAGTACCGTCAGAGTTTCTACTAGCCCCCCTGAAATCTTGTAAAACAGAGTGAGTGTCCAAAGGTGCCAATCCAAACCCTTGAGGGTCAAGTCTCTCTTACCCTTTGGAAGCTGAGATCGTCCCTGAACTCTAAGAGATCTAATAGAGCAAGTAAAATTTACTGGTTTCCTCCAGAAAAGTACTCACAGAAGCTTACTGTTTGTTTTGTCCAAACTCTGTCCTTAAAGTTATTTTCATTCACCCCAAAAGATAAAGACACTGAAAGCATGTTGCTGTTTGGGTTCCCAACTCTAGTGTTTTTGAATGCACACCTACGTGGGATTTGTGCTGCTTCTGAGGCCTTGTTTTATTCCTCTGCAAGGAGAGAGTGAAGTGAAACACTTCACCCCCAGTCTTCTCCTCTGTGGCCCTCGGTGTCTGCCCACCACACTAACTCTAGTTTAATCCAGAATAACACTTATTCTCGACACATGGTAATTTGGGCATGGAATCGCATTTTCCTTTCATCTTTGCAAAATTGTGTGAGGTTTTTTTTATGGTTTGCTTTATGGGTGCTGTTGTTTTTCTGCTTTATTTTTGCGTTCGCAGAGTAATAGAAGTCCTAAATCTATTCTCTGCTTCATTTTACAAGAATACGGTGACTTTTCCTGTAAAAACAGAATTGGATGTACTTTCCGTAGGCAACTTGCCCACACGGTAGATGCACATGCACGGGCGCGCACAGCTCCCTCGTAGGCTCATTCTGTCAAGTCCTCCCTCTGTAAATTAGATCCCCAGTGGGTCCTTTTGCTATGTTCAAACCCATTAAAAAGACCATCCAGCATTTTCCTTCTTTTGACACAAGCGTATTACAGTGTGTCATCTCCTGTCTGCAGACAAGGTGGAGCTGACTATCTGGCTGCATTTGTCATGGTTATCCTGTGGCGAGTTGTCACTTGAAGGTCGTTTTAATGTCCATTCCATTAGAGGCCTGTCAGTGACCAAGGTGATCTCAAATCCGTCTCAAGAAATGGGCAATAGCAATGGGGTTAACTATACAGACCTGTCATTTTCCAGATTTTGTTTTCCGTTTGTTTGTTTGTTTGCTACCATCTGTTCCTGGAGGGTGAGCCTCCTGCTTTTCTGCTCTTTGTTCTCTCATACTTGCTGCTCCCTGTTTGTAGTCTCTGTTTGTGTGTTGCCCTGTTGAAATGGATGAAGTGTTTGGCTTCAGTGGAAGTGGGATCAGTCGTGTGCACTAAATGGAGATGGTTTGTTTGGTTTTTTTTTTCCTTCCCCCAGGATCGTAAGCTTTTGTTGTTGCATATTTTCTAGCACCAGCTGTATGTCATTGCAAAAAGAAACTGGGGTCACTTCCTGGAAGATAATGGTAAAAATCAGGACTTCATTCTGAGGTTAGGGAGGTCATAATATTAGAAATGAAAAAGAAGTCCATAAATAACAGAATGAAGTCTGATTTTTTTTTCCCGGGGCTTCGTTCTGAGGACAGATTCTCTGGTCAGTGATAAATTCTGTGACCTGATAGTGACTGAAACTCCTCTGCATCCACAATAGTCTCTGAATTGTCCTGTGGGACCCTTGGGGTAGAGGAGTGCATCCTTCTTCTCTGTTCACCAATCTGCACAAATACTGATGCGCTGTCGAATCTGCTTGAAATTGGCCAACAGATCTGAGTGATGTTTGGGAGGATGAACACGGGAGAGGAGAGTGGTTGTCTGCATACACCATGTTTTCCTTTAGGGCAACCTGTTACAGAAGGGCAGGTTGTTTAATTGGGGATAATACCTTAGCACTGACCCCTGCTTCTCTGCTCCTTTCCTCCTGAAAAGAGGACTGATCTCTTTTATTGTTAGGCAGAAGTAGAAATAAGGAGTCTATGGGTATTGGTGCTACGGCTCTGGTACTAAATATGTAGTATTTAGGTTTCTGTTTGGGGTGTTGCTGTGTTTGACCAAAACTAAAGCGTTGTCTCACAAGGGGGGACACTGCTATTGAGGTCCCTTCAAGAATACCAAGGATCAGGAATTGCTGAGCAGCCTCTGGGAAAGGTGGGAAAGTCCTGTGAGGTGTGCGCTCCTACAGGGCTAAGGACTCAGTCAAAGGTGTGACGTGTCACTTTCTTTTGGAAATACCTTCAATGTTAACCCTGCTGTAAGGGCTGTGGGTAATATTGTAATTTATTTTTACCACACTGAAAAAAATCAGCCCCTTAGTTTGTAGTACCCTGATGAGGCCCAGAGCAAGCTGGTGGAGTGAGCTGGTTAATTTGGCCTTTAACAAGTTAACAAGTCATTCAACCTCTTGGCTTGTCGTCTGCTGTGCTACAGGCACATGCTGAAGCTTTAATAGTGTTTATTCAGAGGAGACAGAGCACTGTAGAGACATGATGTTGGTCTTCAGCAAGTCAAGGGACAGCAGCCAGCTTCTGTGCGTCCCTGGGGAGTGGAGGGTGGCCCTGCCCATGAAGGGTACTCACGTACGGGAAATGTGGTGGTTCAGAGAAGTTGGGCAGAGAGGGATGATGAGTGAGCTGCTCTGAGCACTAGTAATAATGCTAGTCTGACTCAGGGCATGCTCCTAGGTTGGGATTTTCTGCAGTAGGGTCCTCTGGGATGTTTCGTCATACAGAGCTGACTGTAGCGTGTATGGGGCTGGAGGACACTGGCATTTCTTGTTGCCTTCCAGCAAGTAATACCTCTAGCATGCCTCCTCCACAAGGTGATAGTTACAGGTGTGGTTTGAGAGAAGACAGATTTAGCATTCATCTGTTCTTCCCCCCACTGTGATTCCCACTGAAAGACACTAGTGAGCCAGAAAGCCATTGTATCCATGTGCAGTCAGCTTTGGGCCAAATTCACCCCTTCCACAAGGTCTCAGCGAGGTCCTAAGTGTTGCAGCAGGGCTGTGTTTCAGCAAGAATTAATTTTGATCTTGAGGGACATTGCAGCAAACCAGGATAAATCACCAAAGGAATTTAAAGCATTTTGTGGTGGTTTTAACATCGTGGTTGCTAGTCAGAACATACACAGATCTAGTTCATAACTTGACTTGGGCTACCCATGCAGCTAAAGCTAGAAAATTCTTTCCATTTAACCCCTTTTCAAAAATACTTGTCTCAAAACAATGAATTGTTTTGGATCTCCTCCTGGAAGGCTTGATGGGGAAATATAAAAGCTCTTCCCTCTCCTGGACTGGATGGCTTTCTCACAGCCATCTGTGAAAGACAACAGGTGACCTTCCTCAACAGTTAGCTGTCAGTGTCACAGTGTCACAGGACTATCACCCATTTGATGTCACTGCTGAAACATGTCTTTGTCAGGCACAGGCTGTAGTACAAACTCCCTTTCTAAAAAGCAGTGAGGTCTTCCATCAGATTATTTTACAGTAAATTAAGAGTTTTTCTATGCAAAAGAAAATTTACCCTGCCTGCTACCAGTGAAGAGGAGGAATTAGGCAACATCTACTTCATCTTGCAGTCAGGGTGAAATACTTTTGATTCACTTTTGAGTACTACATTCTGCCCAGCAGATTCTATACTTCCTGCTTTCCTGATTATTTACTGCCCCCCCAAGTATACATTCACTTTGTCAAATATATCCAGCAGATTTTAAACACTTTATTTAATAAAAGTTAAACATACAAAACTGAAATTAACACACTTTGTATTCATAAAAATCACCTTCTCCCATTATAGGGAGAACCTTTTTCTATGTATGGATTCTAAACTACCAGTTGTAGAGTTTAGCTTGAGTTGCGACTCAGGTAACTGATGGACATTTCCACCAATCAGTGCATCAACAATTGCTGACGTGACCCGATCTAGTTAACAAATTACAAAATGAGCTACATTAACATAATATACAGGGAAATAATGGTCAGGGTTAATGGACAAGAAACACCCTTTTATTATTTAACAGGGGAAACAGCTGATGTACTCTTGTCCATTAACTCAGCCCTAGATTTTACAAAAATAATATCTACATTGTATACAGGGCTACCCATTAACTTCTTTAAACACATTAGGGGTTCAGAGATGGCACCACTACCGTAAGTGAGAGACAAGTAACAGAGGAAAGCAAATCACATAAAATACAAGAAAGCAAGAGCTTTTACACGTGGTTTCCTGAATAAAATCAAAGGGGCTCAGCAGCACTGTGATACAGCTGAAGTTACAATGAACGCTAGGGCCAGTCAATTATTTAAGGACAGAAACTTCAGACTAACCTTTACTCACTCACAACTAACTAAGTGGGATCTAGGCATTCGTATCTGCGGTGCTGCACTTCCACTCGACTGGATGGAGGAGGCCTGGATACGAGCTGTTCCTGTGTATTCCAGGTCTGCAACCATGCCATCAAACCGGCAAGATCTGCAAGAGGGGAGATGATGGCTCCTTCCCAAGCACAACCATTTACATTCTCCAACTCTGATCCTCGGGGTAGGGTGGGGTGCGTATTTTTAAGTACAGTTCTCTACTTTGAAATTGCGGTCTAAATACCTTGTCCTATGGTCTTCTGGTTACATTTCAATAACCTTTCAATAACCTCCTATTAAAATTTTAGAGTATTTAAAAAAAAAAAAAATCTCCTCTGCTTAACTTCTAGCACAGGAAATTCAGACTCAAATTCAAGTCAAATTTATTGTTTCTAGCACATGAATCACCATTAGTAATAAAGATCCTATCGGCCCTGTTCTGCCCTCATTTACAGCTGTACAAATGAAATCTTCAGTGGATTTGTAAGGGAGTAATTTAGAACTTCCTTAGCAATTCCATGTGACTTACAAGCTATGATGGAGTCCAGCTCTCCCTCCCAGAGCTGCAGCGGCTCTGTAATGCTGAGCTTGTCGCTGAAACAGCAGACAGCACTGTGACTACAGAAACGAGGGAGGATGTTAGGGTGCCATTTTTATACCACCACTTTTCTTAAGGGAAAAAAAACTTCACTACTAGTATGAATGAAAGATTCCAGAGATCAAAGCTGCAGATAACTACTGCTTTCAGAGCAACAGGTAACAGCAGTTCATGAAAGCATTTACCTGCAGAATGTATTTTAATGCAACTACAAAAAGTTTAGTGATTATGGGGGTCAAATCAATAGCTGGAGATTTAAGGCTCATATCAGCTGAAGCCAAAGTGATGGTGACAAAATGGACTACTTGCTATGTGCCAACAAATAATTTACTTTTAGAAAAATATAATGATAAAAAGATAAGTGTAAAGCCCTGCAGAGATGAAGTTCCACCTTTTTCCCCTGTTACTGAGGCATCAAATGCCTGACATTGTATTTAGAGGTATCTTGATACTGTGTCATAGGTTTGTCTGCAATTCCGCATGTTCCAACTCCAACCTTGCCCGTTACGCTCTCAGGGGAAGCAAAAATACTCCTCTTTACCTGCAAATGAAGCAAAAAACACCATTTCTGAGTAATTACTAACTTGCTCTTAAAAAAACAAGCCATCATTACCCTTTGAAGTGTTTCAATATCCTCAACTTCTTACTCTATAGGAAGGCACGCTTTCTAAAGGCTAGCTCATCTGTGGCAACAGAGCTGGGAACTTCCTGGCATCTAAGTGCTGGATGTGATGGTGGTACTCGGGAACCTGGGTCAGGCCAATGATGAATAAAATTCACCTCTCTCATGATGATCGCTAATTGTTCATAAGGAAGACTGAAGTTTTACCACTGTATCTGGCGGCTCTTGGTGAAGCCGTGATAAAAATGAAATAAGGCTTCAAGATGTCCTTGCTACCTTTTTTTTGCGCTATGTGTGCTATTCCAGGGAAATTACTTAGTGCTGTGTCTGCCGGGTCATAAACAGAGCAAGAAGTCAGGCTTGGAGGTTTAGACAGGCCCTCAGGTTCTAAGCTCCAACAAACACTACCTGGCAATTGACAACAAGCCCAGCTCTCCAAGCTAAGCGCAAGCTCAGCCTCTTAAGAGGAGCACTCCTCCAGTACAAAACCAGACCTTTTAAGGGTACAAAATACCAAACTGCACACTTCAGAATCCCTAAGATGAACCCCCTTTAAATCCCTTTAAAAACCACTTCTTCCTCTCCCCCAAAATACTGCACAGAATTCTATGCCCTGTTGTTATTCACATACTGACAAAACTAAACAAACCTGGCCTTTTTTGTTTTTAGAATAGGCTCTGTTGTTAAACTGTTGCCACTTGACTTTCTGGTCCTCTCGTTCCTGTTCAAGTTCTTTAATTCTCTGAGCTTTTTTCAAAGCTTTCTTCTTTTTATACTCTCGTTGCTGCGCTATCATCTCTTTTCTAGAGAGAAGGAAAAAAGACATTTTATGTTTGTGCCTTTTTCTGTAAGAAACTAAAACCCCTGTAAGACAGACATGCACAATAGTTTTCCGTAAGTAAATGAGAGAAAACAAAGCTTGTAAATATTCTCTACTTCTAGAAAAAAAAACCCAACAAGTCTTTCCATGTATAAGCATTACATTGCTTATTTATATATTTCGGCATAAGAACAACTACCACCACCACCTGATTAAGACCATGCCAAAGACAGCGGCCCATGGGATTGAGTGAAATTCATTTCTGAAACTGAGAATGTACCCATCAGCACTTCTGCATTTCAGAAACATCTAGGGTTTGGAAAATTTAAATAGCCCATTCGAGTGAAAAGCCCAAACTTTTCTGGAGGTCTGCAGGACTCTCATGCTACTAAGTATTGGACAGGGACAGAAGGAAAAGAACAAAGATAAGTTACTTCAGTAAAGATAAGGAAGTTGAAGGAGTCAATCTGTGCCACAATGCAGCGCCTCCCAGAACGATCCCTTAGGGAAGGGATCATTGCTATAACAAACTCTGAAATTGTAGCACTTTTTTTCTTCCCCCCAAAGAAAGTTTTCAGCCCTTAAAAATACCTTTCTGTATTAGACACGATAGGATATTGAGTAAAGCACATATCCCTGGCGATGGGATCAACACCGCTATCCTAACAGAGAGATGGGGCAGAAGCAGAAGTCCTTCGTACTGGTAAGTATACTCTGTTGCGAGCCAGATCACAGATCTGAGCAGAGCCTGCACTAGATCTGGACTGAAACTTGTAGGCTCTCTGCTGTCAATGAGAGAGTACTCTTTTTTTTTTTTTAAATCTACTGCTTACATACTTGATAGCTTGAGATAGCATAATCTGAGTAAAACAAAGTCTATCACGTTATCTTGCCAGGATACATAACACACATGATACCAGCCACGATAATGTACCAAACATTATATGCTAGATAGATTTAAGATCCTTCTTCAAGCGAACATGTGAAGATATTAAAGATATGTAAAATTTCAAAAAAGAGATATTCTATTTCATTAACCAATTTTTATAGCTGGGGGGAACCCACAAAGCAGCTTTCAGACTTCTGCCTGTGTATTACTTACTTGGACATGGGTTTGTTGCCACTGTCCTCTTTTGCTTTTCTTCCCTCTTCCACAGGCTTGAGGTTGAACAGAGGTGTAACTTCAGCATTGCCATACCCAGCAAATGTGACCGCAGCTGTTCCATTCTCCTCATCTATTTCTTCAATCTCAGCTTCATAACACCTGTAAAGATATCATGGCTGTAAGCATGTGAGTAAAGCTTTAATACTCAGCCCTTCAACACCTACACTGTCAGCGAGCTAGTGGCATTAAGTAAAAAATTTGCAAATATCGGCCTTCATTTTCAGGGACAATACGCAAATCAAACCAAGAGATTATTTTCTTAAGGTCAAAGGGACAAAAGTACAACGACTGGAATCTGCTGTATTTGACCTTTAGCATCAAGAAGCAATGGCCTCACAGTTACCAAAACTAATGATCGATGCTGGGGCCAGTCTAATCAGATATCCTGATTTGGTTCTAGTTCTGGCGGGTCATGGGATTGGGGCGGGGCGG